TAGTAGCTACTACTACATATGTAGTAGTACATGTGTAGTAGCTACTACTACATATGTAGTAGTACATGTGTAGTAGCTACTACTACACATGTAGTAGTACATGTGTAGTAGCTACTACTACATATGTAGTAGTACATGTGTAGTAGCTACTACTACATATGTAGTAGTACATGTGTAGTAGCTACTACTACACATGTAGTAGTACATGTGTAGTAGCTACTACTACATATGTAGTAGTACATGTGTAGTAGCTACTACTACATATGTAGTAGTACATGTGTAGTAGCTACTACTACATATGTAGTAGTACATGTGTAGTAGCTACTACTACATATGTAGTAGTACATGTGTAGTAGCTACTACTACATATGTAGTAGTACATGTGTAGTAGCTACTACTACATATGTAGTAGTACATGTGTAGTAGCTACTACTACATATGTAGTAGTACATGTGTAGTAGCTACTACTACATATGTAGTAGTACATGTGTAGTAGCTACTACTACATATGTAGTAGTACATGTGTAGTAGCTACTACTACATATGTAGTAGTACATGTGTAGTAGCTACTACTACATATGTAGTAGTACATGTGTAGTAGCTACTACTACATATGTAGTAGTACATGTGTAGTAGCTACTACTACATATGTAGTAGTACATGTGAAGTAGCTACTACTACATATGTAGTAGTACATGTGTAGTAGCTACTACTACATATGTAGTAGTACATGTGTAGTAGCTACTACTACATATGTAGTAGTACATGTGTAGTAGCTACTACTACATATGTAGTAGTACATGTGTAGTAGCTACTACTACATATGTAGTAGTACATGTGTAGTAGCTACTACTACATATGTAGTAGTACATGTGTAGTAGCTACTACTACACATGTAGTAGTACATGTGTAGTAGCTACTACTACATATGTAGTAGTACATGTGTAGTAGCTACTACTACATATGTAGTAGTACATGTGTAGTAGCTACTACTACATATGTAGTAGTACATGTGTAGTAGCTACTACTACATATGTAGTAGTACATGTGTAGTAGCTACTACTACATATGTAGTAGTACATGTGTAGTAGCTACTACTACATATGTAGTAGTACATGTGTAGTAGCTACTACTACATATGTAGTAGTACATGTGTAGTAGCTACTACTACATATGTAGTAGTACATGTGTAGTAGCTACTACTACATATGTAGTAGTACATGTGTAGTAGCTACTACTACATATGTAGTAGTACATGTGTAGTAGCTACTACTACATATGTAGTAGTACATGTGTAGTAGCTACTACTACATATGTAGTAGTACATGTGTAGTAGCTACTACTACACATGTAGTAGTACATGTGTAGTAGTAGCTACTACTACATATGTAGTAGTACATGTGTAATAGCTACTACTACATATGTAGTAGTACATGTGTATATGTATATATGTAGTAGCTACTACATCTGTTGTAGCTACTACATAGCTACTACATATATATGTAGTAGCTACTACATCTGTTGTAGCTACTACATAGCTACTACATATGTAGTAACTATGTAGTAGCTACTACATGTAGCTACTACACATGTAGTAGTAGCTACTACATATGTAGTAGCAGCTACTACATATGTAGTAGCTGCTACTACATCTGTTGTAGCTACTAAATAGCTACTACATATATATGTAGTAGCTACTACATCTGTTGTAGCTACTACATAGCTACTACATATGTAGTAGCTATGTACTAGCTACTACATGTAGCTACTACACATGTAGTAGTAGCTATTACATATATACATTTATGTATATATGTAGTAGCTACTACATCTGTTGTAGCTAATTACATATTTAGTAGCTATGTAGTAGCTACTACATGTAGCTACTACACAAGTAGTAGTAGCTACTACATATATACATATATGTATATATGTAGTAGCTACATAGGTAGTAGCTACTGCATAGGTAGTAGCATATGTATATGTAGTAGCTACTGCATAGGTAGTAGCATATGTATATGTAGTAGCTACATAGGTAGTAGCTACTGCATAGGTAGTAGCTACTACCTATAGTAATAGAGCACTTGCTCTATTACTATAGTACTATACCGCCTTCAACTTTGATGAACGACTGAGTGTTTAAGATTAGCGATTTGTCGTATTATCCTCTTTGTTTTTTTCGGTAAAGTCACGTAGATAAAATAAAATTAAAATCAAAGAAAACAACTAAATCAAATCACGACGTTTCGGAGGCAACACAAGCTTCCGTCTTCAGGTGGAACAGTCACAGCAAGATAGCTGCATCAGCTATCATTGCCCATAGACTAACATTGCCCATAGACTAACATTGTCCATAGACTAACATTACCCATAGACTAACATTGCCCATAGACTAACATTGCCCGTAGACTAACATTGCCCATAGACTAACATTACCCATAGACTAACATTGCCCATAGACTAACATTGCCCATAGACTAACATTGCCCATAGACGAACATTACCCATAGACTAACATTACCCATAGACTAACATTGCCCATAGACTCACATTGCCCATTGACTCACAATGCCCATAGACTAACATTGCCCATAGACTAAAATTGCCCATAGATTAGCATTGCCCATAGACTCACATTGCCCATAGACTAACATTACCCATAGACTCACATTGGCAATAGACTAACATTGCCCATAGACTAACATTGGCAATAGACTAACATTACCCATAGACTAACACTGCCCATAGACTAGCATTGCCCATAGACTAACATAGCCCATAGATTCACATTGCCCATAGACTAACATTGCCCATTGACTCACAATGCCCATAGACTAACATTGCCCATAGACTAAAATTGCCCATAGACTAGCATTGCCCATAGGCTCACATTGCCCATAGACTAACATTGCCCATTGACTGACAATGCCCATAGACTAACATTGCCCATAGACTAACATTGCCCATAGACTAGCATTGCCCATAGACTAACATTGCCCATAGACTAGCATTGCCCATAGACTAACATTACCCATAGACTAACATTACCCATTGACTAACACTGCCCATAGACTAACATTGCCCACAGACTAACATTGTCCATAGACTCACATTGTCCATAGACTAGCATTGCCCATAGGCTAACCTTGCCCATAGACTAACATTACCCAGAGACTCACATTACTCATAGACTAACACTGCCCATAGACTAACATTACCTATAGACTAACATTGCCCATAGACTAACATTGCCCATAGACTAACATTGTCCATAGACTATCATTACCCATAGACTCACATTACCCATGGGCTCACATTGCCCATAGACTAACATTGCCCATAGACTAACATTTCCCATAGACTAACATTGCCCATAGACTAACATTGCCCATAGACTAACACTGCCCACAGACTAACATTGCCCATAGACTAACATTGCCCATAAACTAACATTGCCCATAGACTCACATTGCCCATAGACTAACATTGCCAAGAGGCTTACATCACTCACTCACCATCTCACTCATTCACCCACTCACTCACCATCTCACTCACCCACTCACCCACTCACTCACCTACTCACTCACCCACCATCTCACTCACCCACTCACTCACCCACTCACCCACTCACTCACCCACTCACCCACTCACTCACCCACTCACTCACCCACTCACTCACTCACCACTCACTCACTCACCAACTCACCCACTCACTCACCCACTCACTCACCCACTCACTCACCATCTCACTCACCCACTCACTCACCCACTCACTCACCCACTCACTCACTCACTCACCCACTCACTCACCACTCACTCACTCACTCACCCACTCACTCACTCATTCACCCACTCACTCACCCACTCACTCACTCACCCACTCACTCACCCACTCACTCACTCACCACTCACTCACTCACCAACTCACCCACTCACTCACCCACTCACTCACCCACTCACTCACTCACCATCTCACTCACCCACTCACCCACTCACTCACTCACCCACTCACTCACTCACCCACCCACTCACCACTCACTCACTCACCCACTCACTCACTCATTCACCCACTCATTCACCCACTCACTCACTCACCCACTCACCCACTCACTCACCATCTCACTCATTCACCCACTCACTCACTCACCCATTCACTCACCATCTCACTCACTCACCCACTCACTCACCATCTCACTCACCCACTCACTTACCCACTCACTCACCCACTCACTCACCCACTCACTCACTCACCCACTCACTCACCCACTCTCCCACTCATTCACCCACCCACTCACCCACTCACTCACCCACTCTCCCACTCACTCACTCACTCACCCACTCACTCACCATCTCACTCACTCACCCACTCACTCACTCACCCACTCACTCACCCACTCACTCACTCACCCACTCACTCACTCACTCACCCACTCACTCACTCACCAACTCACTCACTCACCCACTCACTCACCCGCTCACCGACTCGCTCACTCACTCACCCACTCACTCACCATCTCACTCACTCACCCACTCACTCACTCACCCACTCACTCACCCACTCACTCACTCACCCACTCACTCACTCACCCACTCACTCACTCACTCACCAACTCACTCACTCACCCACTCACTCACCCACTCACCCACTCGCTCACTCACTCATTCACCCACCCACTCACCCACTCACCCACTCACTCACCCACTCACTCACCCACTCACTCACCCACTCACTCACCAACTCACTCACTCACCCACTCACTCACCCACTCACTCACCCACTCACCCACTCACTCACTAACTCACTCACTCACCAACTCACTCACTCACCCACTCATTCACCCACTCACCCACTCACCGTCTCACTCACCCGTGGACACGACACTCCTATCGCGGTCTCTCTACTTCTCACCACGTCAACCTCAGCACTTGGGGACTCATCACCAAAGTTGATTTGACTCCCCCACCCCCCAATTTCGTCCCCATGTCCCCTCTTGGTTTAGCCCGCGACCCCTGCCCACCTGGATAAGTGGTCGAGTCCGGCGCTGCTATGAGATCACGCTGTCCATCACAGGGGCTCACTCTGCTCTTCCCTTCTCGAGGTAGGTACACCAGCAACATAATCAACATCATCAGCATCACCAACACCATCATCAGCAGCAGTAACATCAACAGCAGCATGATCAGCAGCAGTAGTGTCATCAGCATCATCGTTCTCATGGATATCATCAGCAACACAACCAATAGCTTCGCTACCATCATCATCATTCGTAAGATCATCATCAGCACCAGCAACACTTTCAGCACCATCATTATCAGCATTACTTACAATATCATCATCAACATCACCATCACTATTACCATTGGCACCATCATCATTAACAATAGTATCATCATCAAAATCATCATCACCAGCACCACCAATACCATCAGCACCATCATCAGCATTATTTCCAATAATACCACCACCACCATCATCATCACTACCAACAGTGTCATCAATACCACCGGCACCAACGCACCAATGCCATCATCACCATCAACATCATCGATAGTATCATCACCACCATCAACCATGACCACCAACACCATCACCTCCACTCATATCGTCAGCAGCAGCATCACTACCAACAGTATCATCACAATCATCATCATTACCATCACCAATATCATCATCATCAGCATAATCACCGCCAATATCATAATTACCAACATCATTATCATCGATATCATAATTACCAATATCATCATCATCATTGCCAGGATCAAAATCAACATAAGTGTGTGTGTCAATGTGTGACAGATTATCTGAACCAGTCCTGGGCCTCCCCTAGGTCGCCTCAAATGAGTACCTGGTGCGGTGTGTAGTAAACATCGCCACTGGTGAGACAAAGGCGGCCGGGCGTGGTGCTGGCCACCCACCCCCTCGTGTGCCGTGCCGGCCTTCATAGGTGGTGCTGCTACTCGCTAACAGCACTTGCCCCTACAGTCTGTTAAGGCTATACGGGGGATCTTTGTCTTTGTTTCTGATTGCAACAACTACTGGGGCTGAGAAAGGTCCTGCCAATGAATGATATTATTCGCCACGGTGGCGAGTAGATGTTAACTCCCTCGCCCGGTATACAGGAGGTCATGGGTTATCAGCGACTTGATAACCAGGTCGCTTCTGAAAAGGAACTAAATAGGTCAATGGGCCTTACCTGGTCAAGTGAAAAAGAATAGTTCATCGTATTTTTTTTTATCGTTTATAGTTTCAACATCGCCCCCCCTGCCAGGCACGCTGAGGAGAGGCTTGCGGAGCCCCAATGCGGTTTCAGGAAAGGGCGGTCCTACACAGATGCCATATTTTCTGTCCGTCTGCTACAGCAGAGGTGTAGGGAATTTCAACAGGACCTACATCTCTGCTTTATTGACCTGGTCAAGGCCTATGGTCCCATTAATAGCCCAAGGCTCTGAGTTGCTCTTCGTGCTGACTCTCTGCTCACAATCATTAAGGGCCTTAATGATGGTCGGCAGGCCCGGGTAAAACTACGTGGCCGGAAGTCAGAGCCATTCCCTGTACACCTTGGGGTGTGACAGGGATGTCCTCTGGCTCCCACATTATTGAACATGTTTTGACCACGTAGTTCGAGAAGCTTTCCATGGCTGTGCCGGAGAAATTTCCATCTTGTATATCAGATAAGATGGGAGGCTGATCGATGCCCGGGTGTGGTCAAGGGATGGCTCTCTATTGGTTAACCATGTTATCTGTCCATGTAAATATAAATGTGTCGTTAAACCCGCTACCACCCGACACAGCCAATTAGTAAGGTCTGTCACGTAAACAGAACATGCAAAGTCGTTACTAGTACAGCACACCGGTGTGTTGGAGAGCCAAGCCACAACATTTACAATCTGAGTACGACGTTTCGCCAGTAATTACAACCAGCTTCATCAGGCGGCAGCCAGATTTGTGGAGAAATTCTCCTTCTGTTTCGTTCAATAAATAGAGGGATAGATGTTATGACGTCACTTGTGAGCCCTTCTTGTGCAAAGTGGGGGATGGTTAATGAATGCATCTAAATTACAAAGGGTAATTTATATGGCCATTACCGGTTGGGTTATTTTTATGGTAATCAACATACATGAATGCATGCACATTGTTCCCCGTACTTTCTGTCGTTTGTTTGCCCTAAAATATGAGTTTCTGTTCTTGTCTGCTCACAGGTAATCACCAGTGACGTATGGTGACCTGTCTAGGCGTGCATTTAAGCAATGTATTGTTTGATGATTCGCTTCCAAGCAGCACTACGTCTCTAGCTATCCGAACGGTTAAAATTATTTTTACTTCTCTCAATTTAGATATATTCTCTAATTAGTCTTGGCCAGCCAGTAGTAAACTAGTTTTGTACAAAACTTCAACATTATCAAAATCAAATGAGTGTCCTTGTTGGCACGCATGTTCTGCCACTGCCGACAGTTTTATGTGGGAGTATTTCATATTCCTTTGGTGTTCTCTTAGTCTCGTGCTGATCATTCGTCGTCTGCCCAACACAGCATTTGCCACAAAAGCAATGAATCTGGTACACACCTTCTGTTGATAACTTCGGTAATACATATTTAGTACCAGATATAAATTTACGTATTTTATATATCGTGCCAAATCTGACTCGGATGTTTCGCTTTTTCAAACATCTGGCTAGCTTCTAAGTTGCTCCAGCAATGTACGGTATATTAATAGTTTGAATTACCTGGATAGTTTCAACGCTCGTGTTATTTCATTTTGTTTGGGCATTCAGTGCCCTGTTGAATTGTGCATCATTGTAACCGTTCAATTGCAGCACTTCTTTAACATGTTTAATTTCACTTCTCAGACTATTCCTATCTGACACATTCTTAGCCTGATGTATGATCATCCTGATGAGAGAGGATTTCTATGTATGCTGATGATCTGGTGATTGCTGCTCACTCAGAGGAGGAATTGGAGACACTGCTGCTGAACCTGGAGCGTGCTACTAAGAGGTGGGGCCTTACCATCAGCGCCACCAAACTAAGTACCTGCCCGGGTATGTTGTGCCATCAAACACTCCACCCCCTCAACTCCCCCATGAGTAATGGGGCAGTTGTGGAGAGAGTGGAGAGGTTCCTTACCTGGGCAAGTGTGCTTAAAACCAGTTCCGATTTGGTAGGAGAGGTCTCACTCCGAATCAGTCGAGTGGCATTATATTTTCATCAGCTGCGTAACGCTGTGTGGAAACTACCTGGCATGTCGCTCTTTTTGGGCACGGTCATGCCCTCCCTTCTCTGCACTTTGGAAACGTGGACCCCTATAATGGAACATATTTGCCGGTTAGAAACATTTAGGCTGGCCAGACAAAAGCACATACAGACAGACACACACATACATACAGACACACACATACATACAATCACACACAACAACGACAAAGATCCCCCGTATAGTCTGGCAAGTGCTGTTAGCGAGCACCTATAAAGACCGGAACGGTACACGAGGGGGTGGGTGGCCAGCACCACGCCCGACCGCCTTTGTCTCCCCAGTGGCGATGTTTACACACCGCACCAGGTACTCAGTTGAGACCGAGTCGACCTAGGGGAGGCCCAGGACCGGTTCAGATAATCGTCACCGGTGTTGGCCGTGAGCGGGAATCGAACCCGGGACGCCGGGTTCGTAGCGCAGCGTAGCGCTACACTACCGCTCCCCACTGAGGTCACGCCGCTCGCAGTCTGGGGGGTGGGGGTAGGGGGGCCCGCGGATTAGTGAACGCGCCGCGCCGATGAATGGGGGCCCTCGCGTGAACGCGGCGCTTAAACCCCGCGACTCCCGACTCCGATAATCTCCGCCGCTCCTAAAACAACCGCGCGCTCAGCGATTCGCGGCTATGGGACGCCCCAGCCTCCCGCGATTAATTCCGTCTGAATGAAGCACCGACCGCCAGCCGCCACCACCGCTCGTAACGCGCGACGCGACGCGACTCGCGGCTTTAGCTTTAGCCCCGTCGAGCACCGTCCGTCTGTCTGTGACGTGGCAGGGATCACTGCACGCTGGTCTGGGCTTTCCGTCTCGCAAGAGTTGATCCGATCTGATGATGATGATGATGATGGAGTGAGAGTGCTGTGGTTGTGAAGTTGTGTCGATGTTAGAGAGAGAGAGAGAGAGAGAAACCCAGGCGCCCACACCCACCATCACTCACTCATTCACCCATCCATAAACACCTACCCACACACTCACCCACCAACACACTCACGCACCCACTCACTCGCCCATCCACACACTCACTCACCCACCCATCCATACACTCACCCACCCATAAACACCTACCCACACACTCACCCACCGACACACTCACGCACCCACTCACTCGCCCATCCACACACTCACTCACCCACCCATCCATACACTCACCCACCCATAAACACCTACCCACACACTCACCCACCGACGCACTCACGCACCCACTCACTCGCCCATCCACACACCCACTTGCCCTCCCACCCACACGCTCACTCACCTACGCACTCACCCTTACACTCACTCATCCATCCGCACCCTCACACTACCACTCACTCACGCACCCACTCACCCACCCCTACACTCACTCATCAATCTACGCGTCGTCGTTGTCGTCAGAAGTCCCTCGGGATTCAAAGATCACGTCCATCAGGCTTAGCGGCGGCTCTTGAGGTTGCTGAGGAGCCCAATTCTGACTCCGCAGATCCGTGGGCATTGAGGGTGACACGCTGTCCCAGACGGAAGTGGAAATCCGCAGTGCCGGGTCGGCTTCCTTTTCCTTTCCTTTATTGGCGGCGATCCACTTCAGCATCGAAACGTCGGGTCTTGAAGCGCGGCCGCAGCCTTCTGGATGCGGCGGCGCCACCCGACCCGATCGGCAGCCCGCTGCGCCTCTCAGTCTGGAAGGATGATCTTTCTGCGCTTCAGGAAGGCCTCGAGGGAATCCTTCAACCGCTTCCTTCGTCCCTCCCCTCGGCGGCTGCCCGTTGGACGGCTGAGAGAAAAGGATCTGGCGGGGAAGGCGGTTCTCAGGCATGCAGATGCAGTGGCCGGTCCATCGGAGTTGTTGCGTTATTTTTTATAAGTACCCTTTCAATGCTGGTGATTTCAGCGTGTATTAGGACACGTGCATTGGTGTAGCAATCTTTACTCTTTGGTTCTATTCGGTAAAGTCACGTAGGTAAAAAATAAAACAACAAAAATCACGACGTTTCGGCCACAACACAAGCGGCCTTCATCAGGCGAAGGGACCAGACTGTCTCGAGGACAGCGCTGGAGTGAAACACAGCCACGCTCAGACCGCGACCTTGAAGCTGTGCGAGAGTAATTAAGGTGCAATCTTCCCACTCGATCGCCTGGATTTGGCAGAGGTGGCGCCGATGGAAGCGCAGTGACGTAGCGCCGGGAGGTTGTCCACTTCTCGCTGCAGTAGAGGAGCGTTGGGGTGACAACGATCCGGTAAGCTAGCAGCCTTGTTGTCCTGCAGAGATCTTTGCTTTGCTGGCGAAGTTTGTTGAAGGCGGCGCTGACGCAATGTATAAAGATTTTTGTAGGCCCCTGGGCTACAGGTACCTTGAGGCCCCCAGTAATATTTTCAAAAGGAAAACAAAGCTAAAGAAAAATGAAATTTATTTTAACAAGGCTAACAAAAAAAATACAAATTCAGCATTCACAAGTGAAATAACTTTTCACTTCATCTCTGGAGGCCCCTGAGCTGCAGCCCCTAAAGCCCCACGCCTTGATCCAGCCCTGGCTGGACTCTGTGCTGGATCGCCTCATCGACGGTGGGCGTTTGGTTGATGGTTCGACAAGGTGCTGCTCTGTGCGGTGTTGTGGTATGGCTTGGAGAGTTTCATCCATCACGGTGGATTCCCTGTTCAGGAGCTGTCCGAAATGCTCTTTCGAGCGTTGACAGATGGCATTGTCGTCCTTCAGGAGCTGGGATCCATCGTGTGACCTGGTGGGGTTCTGTCCTGTAGACCGATGTCCAAAGATTGTCTTTATTGCCTGAAAGAAGTTCCGCGTATCGTGCTGGTCGGCATATCTCTCTATCTCGAGTTCCTTTTCCACCCACCAGTTGCGTTATTCATGTCGCGGATCTGCCGTTGCGTTTCAGCCTGCAGTTGGTCGTACGCTGCGGTCCTGCATCGTATCCTTGGGTGGTTTTGGCAGGCGAGGAAGACAGCACGCTTGCACTCCAGGAGGTCGCAGGTCTGGGTGCATTTGCGTCGAACCACTCCTCTTACCTTCGGGCTTCATAGCCGATGGTCTAGGCACGTGAGTGTAGTACCGTGGTTTTTAAGCTGGTCCCATTGTGCGTGGCTGGTGGTGAACTCTGGTGTCAGAAGGTTTTCCAATGCGGTATGGAGTTATGCTTGAAGCTCTTCTCGCTTTTTCAGCGGCCTTTAGTGCTGAAAGATTCAGCTTTTTCTGGCCAGCCTTCACCCTCTTCCGGTGTCTTAGCGCCAGATGAATAACTATCACGCCAGATGAATAACTATCACGCCAGGTGAATAACTATCACGCCAGGTGAATAACTATCACGCCAGGTGAATACCTATCACGCCAGATGAATGACTATCACGCCAGATGACTAATTATCACGCCAGGTGAATAACTATCACGCCAGGTGAATAACTATCACGCCAGATGACTAATTATCACGCCAGATGACTAATTATCATGCCCGATGAATAACTATCACGCCAGATGAATAACTATCACGCCAGATTAATAACTCTCACGCCAGGTGAATAATTATCACGCCAGGTGAATAACTATCACGCCAGGTGAATACCTATCACGCCAGATGAATGACTATCACGCCAGATGACTAATTATCACGCCAGGTGAATAACTATCACGCCAGGTGAATAACTATCACGCCAGATGACTAATTATCACGCCAGATGACTAATTATCATGCCCGATGAATAACTATCACGCCAGATGAATAACTATCACGCCAGATTAATAACTCTCACGCCAGGTGAATAACTCTCACGCCAGGTGAATAACTATCACGCCAGGTGAATAACTATCACGCCAGGTGAATACCTTTCACGCCAGGTGAATACCTTTCACGTCAGATTAATGACTATCACGCCAGGTGAATAACTCTCACGCCAGATGAATAACTATCACGCCAGATGACTAATTATCACGCCAGATGACTAATTATCACGCCAGATGAATGACTATCACGCCAGATGAATAACTATCACGCCAGATGAATAACTATCACACCAGGTGAATAACTATCACGCCAGGTGAATAACTATCACGCCAGGTGAATACCTTTCACGCCAGATGAATGACTATCACGCCAGATGAATAACTATCACGCCAGGTGAATAACTATCATGCCAGGTGAATAACTATCACGCCAGGTGAATGACTATCACGCCAGGTGAATAACTATCACGCCAGGTGAACAACTATCACGCCAGATGAATAACTATCACGCCAGATGACTAATTATCACGCCAGATGAATAACTATCACGCCAGATGAATAACTATCACGCCAGATGAATAACTATCACGCCAGATGAATAACTATCACACCAGATGAATAACTATCACACCAGATGAATAACGATCACGCCAGATGAATAACTATCACGCCAGATGACTAATTATCACGCCAGATGAATAACTATCACGCCAGATGAATAACTATCACGCCAGATGAATAATTATCACACCAGATGAATAACTATCACACCAGATGAATAACTATCACACCAGATGAATAACTATCACACCAGATGAATAACGATCACGCCAGATGAATAACTATCACGCCAGATGAATAACTATCACGCCAGATGAATAACTATCAAGATGGTGGTCGGTCCAGCAGTCCTGGGATCCCTTAATAGCCTTTGTAAAGAGGTCTCTCAAATCACTGGCATGGACGATGGCATAGTCCAGGAGGTGCCAGCGCTCGGACCTGGGGAGCTTCCATGTGGTCCTTTGTTGGTCTGACTGCGTTGGTTGTGATGAGGCCACGTTGGGCACGCTTGGTCAGGAGGAGGATGCCGTTGGCGTTGACTTTTCCCACGACGTCCTCGCCAATATGGTTCCACTCCAAGACGCTGTGGTCGCGCCCAACCCGGGCAGTGAAATCGCCCAGGAGTGTGACCTTGTCGCTCCTCGGAGTGGCGGTGAGGGCGTCGTCGTGCTCGGAGTAGAACTGCTCCTTGATGCCGTCATCCGTGTCGAGGGTCGGGCCATAGGATTGGATTTTGGCTGAAGTGAGGGCGGAGGGCATCAGCCTTTTGTTGATGCCTGTGGGGAGTTCTAGCAGCGCATCAGCAATCTTATTTTTGACTGCAGAGGCGACTTCATGGATCCCGAGGTTCACTGTCCAACTGACCCTGCCAGAAGAAGGTTGAATCCCCTCCTCTCACGTCCCTCAGTTGCTCCTCTCCGGGAAGTCGTGTTTCACTGAGAGCAGCGATATCAACGTTGTGCTTCGCTAACACTCTGGACACGATGGCCGCTCTTCGTTCGGGGCAGTCACCCTTGATTTTGTCCATGCGTGTTCTTACATTTTGGGTTAGCATAATGTATCTTCATTTTCGTTCCCTTTCGTCCGTCGAGTTCCTTTGTTTTTTGTTCAATCGCAAGTATGATGATCCCACTGGGTGCAGTTTCCCAGCCGGGAAATGTGGGATAGCCTATGACGAGGGCACCTTTTTTAGCCCCTTCCCCCCCCCATCTGAGGGCGAGCGGAGGGCATCCCAAAGAGGATTGCTCAGCCGCGGATGTCGCTGCTGACAGACACCTCTATCCCGGTGCGGGTGTCAAACGATCACCGCACATCCGCCGCCTGCGTGCAGAGTCTTCACCCGAGGGGCTGCCAGGTTCACGGCCCCGCCCCCTTCGCCAATCGTCCATCGCTGCACGAATTTTCACGAACACGACGAAAACCTGCGCGTGGAGTCGATTTGCGCGGGCACCCCGGCGCGTGGGTGGGATCCACACGGCTCTTGACGGGCTATTGGTTGGGTCCAGTGGCATGGCGAGCCGCGGCGACGGGAACCACTTTTCCCCCTGCAGCCTTCGTCCGCCTTCACAGCCGTTGAGACCCACAGCCTCTGACTGTTCCGCCGTTGAGGGCTTCTTTGATCGCTTTTAGTCTGAAACCTCCCCTTTGACCTTGCCGCCATGGGTGGTGACCCTACCAGGAGCACGAGGCTCCCGACGGCTTCGCCTCTCGGGATAATTGGAACGCGCAAACCTCTCCACCACAATAAGGTGGTGATCTTCGGAGAGGAATCAATCCACACTCACCCATTCATAGACTCTCTCAGCTATCCATCCAAACACTTACTCAAAGACTCACCCAACCATACACTCACTCATCAATCCACATACTCATCCAGCCACACACTCACTCACCCACTCACCCAACTATATACTCACCCACCCACTCACCTATTCATACACTCACTCATCCATCAAAACACTTACTCAAAGACTCATCCAACCATACACTCACTCATCAATCCACATACTCATCCAGCCACACACTCACTCATCCATCCAAACAATCACTCACCCACTCACCCAACTATACACTCACCCACTCACCTATTCATACACTCACTCATCCATCAAAACACTTACTTAAAGACTCACACAACCAAACACTCACTCATCAATTCACATACTCATACATACACACACTCACTCACCCACTCACCCAACCATACACTTAACCACTCCAATCACTACGCTCCACTCACTCCACTCACTCACTCCACTCGCCCATTCAAACATTCACTCATCCATCCAAACACTCGAACTCACCCAACCATACACTGACTCATCAATCCTCATACTCACCCATCGACACACCCACTCATCCATCCACACACTCACTCACCCACTCACCCAACTATACACTCACCCACTCACCTATTCATACACTCACTCATCCGTCAAAACACTTACTTAAAGATTCACCCAACCATGCACTGACTCATCCATCCACTCATCGATCCATACACTCACACCCGGTTCCTCCCACACATAGGCCAAATTCTCACAGTTGCAATTCACTCGACCACACTTCCCTGATGTTAAAAGTGCAAAGGATGCCTTGAGTATATAAATGAATCATTATTATTGTTGTTCATTCTTTAAACTATTTAAATTTTACCAGGTAGGGCCCACTGAGTTATGAAGCTCTTTTTTTCAGAAGCGACCTGGCTATTACAAATGATAGCTCAACGCAGTGGCTATGTGGAAATTCATTGCAGACAAATACTCTAAATGCGTGACGTTGATTCTAAATGTGTAGGGAAAAACCAGAGGACCCGGAGAAAAATCCACGCGTCCACGGGGAGAGAGACGCAAACTCCACATATACAGCAGGCGTCAAGGTCGGGATCGAACCCACGACCTCCTGCATACCAGGCAAGGTAGTTAACATCTCCTAGCCACCGTGATGATGATGAGACACGTAAACTCCAAATATACAACAGGCGTCAGGGTCGGGATTGAACCCACGACCTCCTGTGTACCAGGCAAGGGAGTTAACATCTCCTAGCCACCGTGGGATCGAACCCACGACCACCTGTATACCTGGCGAGGTAGTTAACATCTCCTAGACACCGCTGCGCCCTCTTATCTCGGTCATAGCGGTGGTGAGAGTAGGAAGCGGTGATTCGGGCACCTCCAGTGGCATCTGTCCTAATGTGACACAAGGTGACTCAGCACCTGGGCCTGTGGGTGGGCGTTCATCTGCCAGTAGTGGGGGGGGGGGGGGGTGATTGCTGCCGTGTGTGTGATCCCAGTCGATTGATTCGCGATTCATTTTCAAATGTGGACCCCGAGTCTATATGGGTGTCCTTATGCTATTTGCATCTTTCCATCCAACCGGTATCTCACCATCCAACCATCTATTTATCCGTTCATTCATCCATCCATCACTCCATCCATTACTTCATCTATCCAGACATCATCCATCTTTCCCTTAATCCATCACTCCATCCAACCATCCATCCATCGCTCCATCCATAAGTCCAACCAACCATCTATCCATCTGTCCATCACTCCATCAGTCCCTCCAACCAGCCACACGCATCAATCGCCCCCCAACTACCTCACCCCACATAGACGCCGTCGTTCCCCCCAACCCCCCGACAAGGCCCCCCTGACCCCTACGCGGCGTCGACGCTGAGCCATGGGCGACTGGAGCTTCCTGGGCAACGTTCTCGAGAAGGTCAACGAGCACTCGACGGTGCTGGGCAAGGTGTGGCTCACGGTGCTCTTCATCTTCCGCATGCTCGTGCTGGGCACGGCCGCCGAGTACGTGTGGGGGGACGAGCAGTCGGACTTCGTGTGCAACACGCAGCAGCCCGGCTGCGAGAACGTCTGCTACGACGAGGCCTTCCCCATCTCCCACGTGCGCCTCTGGGTGCTCCAGATCGTCTTCGTGTCGACGCCGTCGCTCGTCTACGCGGCCCACGCCGTCCACCACCTGCGAGGTCGCGCCAAGAGGGCCGCGCTCGCCGCGGCCGCCGCCGGCGCGAAGGCCGCGGCGGCGGCGGCGGCCGCGGCCGCGGCGGCGCGATCGGGCGGCCCGCTGCCGCTCAAGGTTGCCGGCGGCGGTGGCTACTGCTCGGACTACCTGGGGCCGGCCGACGACGGCGCCCCGCTCGTGGAGAAGGACGTCGACGACGAGAACGCGATCAACGCCGAGGGCGGGAAGGTGAGAGGTCGGAGAGTCGCGCGTGAGAGACAGACGCCCTACCGCCGCGGTCCAGCCAAGGGGACCCCCTCTACCCAGTGGCAGCTGTCCCTGCGGGGACCGGGTGGTACCCAGCACACGAGCCTGCAAGTCGGAGTTTTGTCGGAGGCGGCGAGGCCGCCATGTGGTTTTCCGCCAATTGAGCTTTTTTCGCAATGTAATTTTTATAAATTCGGCAAATTCGGAGCGCCACACCGGCATGCAAGGGCCTACCACCTGTAGAACACAGACAGGTAACACTCACCTGTAGAACACAAACACTCACCTGTAGATCACTGACAGGTACACTCACCTGTAGAACACAGACACTCACCTGTAGAACATAGACAGGTACACTCACCTGTAGAACACAGACAGGTACACTCACCTGTAGAACACAGACACTCACCTGTAGAACACAGACAGGTACACTCACCTGTAGAACACAGACACTCGCCTGTAGAACACAGACAGGTACACTCACCTGTAGAACACAGACAGGTACACTCACCTGTAGAACACAGACACTCACCTGTAGAACACAGACAGGTACACTCACCTGTAGAACACAGACACTCACCTGTAGAACACAGACAGGTACACTCACCTGTAGAATACAGACACTCACCTGTAGAACACAGACACTCACCTGTAGAACACAGACAGCTACACTCACCTGTAGTAGACAGACACTCACCTGTAGTACACAGACAGGTACACTCACCTGTAGAACACAGACACTCACCTGTAGAACACAGACACTCACCTGTAGAACACAGACAGGTACACTTACCTGTATAACACAGACACTCACCTGTAGTACACAGACAGATACACTCACCTGTAGAACACACTCACCTGTAGTACACAGAAAGTTACACTCACCTGTAGTACACACTCACCTGTAGAACAGACAGGTACACTCACCTGTAGAACACAGACACTCGCCTGTAGTACACAGACACTCACCTGTAGTACACAGACACTCCCTGTAGAACACAGACAGGTACACTCACCTGTACTACACAGACACTCACCTGTAGTACACAGACAGGTACACTCACCTGTAGAACACAGACACTCACCTGTAGAACACAGACAGGTACACTCAACTGTAGAACACAGACACTCAACTGTAGAACACAGACACTCACCTGTAGAACAGACAGGTACACTCACCTGTAGAACACAGACACTCACCTGTAGAATACAGACACTCACCTGTAGAACACAGACAGCTACATTCACCTGTAGTACACATACACTCACCTGTAGTACACAGACACTCTCCTGTAGTACACAGACACTCACCTGTAGGAGACAGACACTCACCTGTAGTACACAGACAGGTACACTCACCTGTAGAACACACTCACCTGTAGTACACAGAAAGGTACACTCACCTGTAGTACACACTCACCTGTAGAACACAGACAGGTACACTCACCTGTAGAACACAGACACTCGCCTGTAGTACACAGACACTCACCTGTAGTACAAAGACAGGTACACTCACCTGTAGAACACAAACACTCACCTGTAGAACACAAACACTCACCTGTAGAACACAGACAGGTACACTTACCTGTATAACACAGACACTCACCTGTAGAACACAGACACTCACCTGTAAAACACAGACAGGTACACTCACCTGTAGTACACAGACATTCACCTGTAGAACACAGACACTCACCTGTAGTACACAGACAGGTACACTCACCTGTAGAACACACTCACCTGTAGTACACAGACACTCACCTGTATAACACAGACACTCACCTGTAGTACACAGACAGGTACACTCACCTGTAGAACACAGACACTCACCTGTAGAACACAGACACTCACCTGTAGTACACAGACAGGTACACTCACCTGTAGAACACAGACACTCACCTGTAGAACACAGACACTCACCTGTAGTACACAGACAGGTACACTCACCTGTAGAAGACACTCACCTGTAGTACACAGACACTCACCTGTATAACACAGACACTCACCTGTAGAACACAGACAGGTACACTCACCTGTAGTACACACTCACCTGTACAACACAGACACTCACCTGTAGTACACAGACACTCACCTGTAGTACACAGACAGGAACACTCACCTGTAGAACACAGACACTCACCTGTAATACACAGACACTCACCTGCAGTACGCAGACACTCACCTGTAGAACACATACAGGTAAACTCACCTGTAGAACACAGACACTCACCTGTAGTACACACTCACCTGTAGTACACAGACAGATACACTCACCTGTAGTACACAGACACTCACCTGTAGTACACACTCACCTGTAGTACACAGACAGGTACACTCACCTGTAGAACACACTCCCCTGTAGAAAACAGACACTCACCTGTAGTACACAGACACTCATCTGTAGTACACAGATAGGTACACTCACCTGTAGAACACACTCATCTGTAGAAAACAGACACTCACCTGTAGTACACAGACACTCACCTGTAGTACACACTCACCTGTAGAACACAGACACTCACCTGTAGTACACAGACACTCACCTGTAGTACACACTCACCTGTAGTACACAGACACTCACCTGTAGTACACACTCACCTGTAGTACACAGACACTCACCTGTAGAACACACTCACCTGTAGAACACAGATACTCACCTGTAGAACACCGACACTCACCTGTAGAACACAGACACTCACCTGTAGAACGCAGACAGGTACACTCACCTGTAGAACACAGACACTCACCTGTAGAACACAGACAGGTACACTCACCTGTAGTACACAGACACTCACCTGTAGAACACAGACAGGTAACACTCACCTGTAGAACACAGTCACTCACCTGTAGAACACAGACACTCACCTGTAGAACACAGACAGGTACACTCACCTGTAGTACACAGATACTCACCTGTAGAACACACTCACCTGTAGTACACAGACACTCACCTGTAGAACACAGACAGGTACACTCACCTGTAGTACAAAGACTTTTACCTGTAGTACACAGACACTCACCTGTAGAACACAGACACTCACCTGTAGAACACACTCACCTGTAGTACACAGACACTCACCTGTAGAACACAGACAGGTACACTCACCTGTAGAACACAGACACCTGTAGAACACAGACACTCACCTGTAGAAGACAGACAGGTACACTCACCTGTAGAACACAGATACTCACCTGTAGAACACCGACACTCACCTGTAGAACACAGACACTCACCTGTAGAACGCAGACAGGTACACTCACCTGTAGAACACAGACACTCACCTGTAGAACACAGACAGGTACACTCACCTGTAGTACACAGACACTCACCTGTAGAACACAGACAGGTAACACTCACCTGTAGAACACAGTCACTCACCTGTAGAACACAGACACTCACCTGTAGAACACAGACAGGTACACTCACCTGTAGTACACAGATACTCACCTGTAGAACACACTCACCTGTAGTACACAGACACTCACCTGTAGAACACAGACAGGTACACTCACCTGTAGTACACAGACTTTTACCTGTAGTACACAGACACTCACCTGTAGAACACAGACACTCACCTGTAGAACACACTCACCTGTAGTACACAGACACTCACCTGTAGAACACAGACAGGTACACTCACCTGTAGAACACAGACACCTGTAGAACACAGACACTCACCTGTAGAAGACAGACAGGTACACTCACCTGTAGAACACAGACACTCACCTGTAGAACACAGACAGGTACACTCACCTGTAGAACACAGACACCTGTAGAACACAGACACTCACCTGTAGAACACAGACAGGTACACTCACCTGTAGTACACAGACACTCACCTGTAGAACACAGACACTCACCTGTAGAACATAGACAGGTACCTGTAGTACGCAGACACTCACCTGTAGTACATACACTCACCTGTAGAACACAGACACTCACCTGTAGAACACAGACAGGTACCTGTAGTACACAGACACTCACCTGTATAACACAGACACTTACTTGTATTACACAGACCCTCACCTGTAGAACACAGACAGGTACCTGTAGAACACAGACACTCACCTGTAGAACACAGACACTCACCTGTAGAAGACAGACAGGTACACTCACCTGTAGTACACAGACACTCACCTGTAGAACACAGACACTCACCTGTAGAACACATACACTCACCTGTAGTACACAGACACTCACCTGTAGAACACACTCACCTGTAGTACACACTCACCTGTAAAACACACTCACCTGTAGAACACAGACAGGTACACTCACCTGTAGAACACAGACATTCACCTGTAGAATACAGACACTCACCTGTAGAACACAGACAGGTACACTCACCTGTAGAACACAGACACTCACCTGTAGAACACAGACACTCACCTGTAGTACACAGACACTCACCTGTAGAACACAGACAGGTACACTCACCTGTAGAACACAGACACTCACCTGTAGAACACAGACACTCACCTGTAGTACACAGACACTCACCTGTAGTACATAGACACTCACCTGTAGAACACACTCACCTGTAGTACACACTCACCTGTAGTACACAGACACTCACCTGTAGAACACAGACAGGTACACTCACCTGTAGAACACAGACACTCACCTGTAGAACACAGACACTCACCTGTAGAACGCAGCCCAACGCGCTGCGCTCGCGGCGCTAACGGCGGCCGATGTTCTGTTCTGGGCGGGTGAAGGTGCGCCTCGAGGGTAAGCTCCTGCACACCTACGTCGTGCACATCTTCTTCAAGGCCACCTTCGAGGTGGGCTTCGTGCTGCTCCAGTACTACCTCTACGGCTTCTCCCTGCGCACGCTCTACCGCTGCAGCCGCTGGCCCTGCCCCAACGTGGTCGACTGCTTCGTGTCGCGCCCCACCGAGAAGACGGTCTTCGTCGTCTTCATGCTCGCCGTCGCCGTGCTCTCGCTGCTGCTCAACGCCCTCGAGCTCATCCACCTCGCCTGGCGGACCAGCAGGCTGAGCGGCGGCGGCGGCAAGGCCCGGCGACGGCGCTATGCCGTCGGAGGAGCCGGCGGAGGATGCGGCGGAGGAGGCGCAGGAGGCGGCGGGGTAGTGGTCTTGGGGGGCGAGGAGGTGGCGGAGGACGCCGTGGCGCGGCTGACGGAGGGCGGCTGCGTGCCAAGAGCGGCCGCCTTCGCGCCCCACAGGCCATCGCCCCCGTTCAAGGGAGCGTTTGCGAAGCCGAACGAGAACACGCTGCCCTCCTTCTGCCCGCTTTCCGTGAGTCACCTGACCGTCTACGGCTCGCACACGAGCAAGGAGGCCGCTGAGAAGTCGAGCCTCGCGGCAGGTGCCGGAGGCAACTCCGGGAGACATTTCGGGGGAGGAGGGAGCGGAGGAGGAGGGAGTGGAGGTGGTGGTGGCAGCCGAAGCTTGAGCAGTTCTCCCAAGGAGATCGACGGGGCGGACATCTCGGATCGGAGGTCTCCGAGCAGAACAAGCTCTCGAGCCCGATCCGATGACCTCAACGTCTAAGAGGAAAGAGAACACAGGGCTACTTTTTTTTTTGCCAGACACCAAAATGCCGACTTGAAACGCCGATCGATAAACAAAGTCTCCCTCAACCAAAGCTCACTTGGCACTCTTATCCCGAAACACAATCTCCTCGAGCCAAGTCTCAGTTAAACGTGCCAATCCATAAACCCGGCATCTGGAGGAAATCTGCGATCGTGACATTCGATTTTTCTCCTGTCGAGTCTCCCAATCTTCCAGAATCCAGTCTTAATCGAGACTCCAAATCCCAATATCCAGTCTCCGAGATGAATGAGGAACTACGTAAATAGCCCAGACACTAATCCTTAAGTATATATTCTGCCGGAACCCAATCTCAATTTACGCTTCATTCCGGAAATCCGGTCAATGTCGACTCTGATAATGAAACTCGGTCGTCCTGACGCTAAAATCTTATCAACTCAAAAGTGGCTCTGTGTTCCCTCGATCTGACAACCTGATTCTCACAAGTGCCAGTGTACTCTTCTGAAATCCTATCTGCTTCCAGACCGGTTCATCTTTCTGTGGGTTGTAAAGTGCAGGCGCAAGTCCACTCAGCTTTCCCGCGAGCTCTCCGCCTGTATTTGTGCTCACAGGGCCTTTGACGAGGTCCCCCCGGGTATGTGTCAAACCACGAGTGGGCTTTCGGGCCCCAAAAAAAGGCCTCTTTGTTTAGCTGTGTCCCTCGAAAACTCCCCGCGAGATTGCAACGAAGGTCGGAAAGCTCACGGGGGAAGGGGTAGCGCAGGCTTGCACATTCCCGCAACCGCCAATCACACATTCAACTGTAGGAGTGCTTCCGTTATCCTGCTCAGGCCTTTCCCACAACTTTGGCATAGTCGTAATAACAAGCCTTTAAGGTTTACGATTCCAATACATAAACTCTAAACCAGTAAAGATCATTTGATCTTAGACTGGGGTTGCCAGTGGTGCTGGTTTTTGCAGGATCACCCTCCTTGTTGAGAAGGTAGCTGTGCTGGGACATCTGTTAAGTCATCCCGTGCCATCAAGTCACGGGGTTTTTTTGTCAGTTCTATAGTAATACACCACTTGAGCCAAATGTACTTACAAGTCCTTCTTCCATCTGCCCATATTGTGAGATATTATTCCTCTTCCCTTGCTATGCCCCAGTAATTTTGTACGTCAGAGGTGGCAACCCTCTGTGAGACAAGTTCGACTTCCTAGCCAACTTTTTCCCATAACTTTATCACATCATTCTAACACAACAATAAGATTTACGATCAAGTGGGTAAAACCGGTAAAGATCAATAGCCTGAGACCCTACCCTATCCCCACACTTACAAGCTCAATGGATGTTCGAAAGGGCTACTCGTGACACTTTTAACACAATTCACACCAGCCATTGCGGCTATATCAGGTTTGGAGTTTTGCGAGGTGTATGAGATGCCGGTAAAAGTGTGAGTATTTTAGGTGCTTGCATGTACAGTGAGGGAAAAAAGTATTTGATCCCCTGCTGATTTTGTACGTTTGCCCACTGACAAAGAAATGATCAGTCTATAATTTTAATGTAAGGTTTATTTGAACAGTAAGAGACAGAATAACAACAAAATCCAGAAAAACGCATGTCAAAAATGTTATAAATTTATTTGCATTTTAATGAGGGAAATAAGTATTTAACCCCTCTGCAAAACATGACTTAGTACTTGGTGGCAAAACCCTTGTTGGCAATCACAGAGGTCAGACGTTTCTTGTAGTTGGCCACCAGGTTTGCACACATCTCAGGAGGGATTTTGTCCCACTCCTCTTTGCAGATCTTCTCCAAGTCATTAAGGTTTCGAGGCTGACGTTTGGCAACTCGAACCTTCAGCTCCCTCGACAGATTTTCTATGGGATTAAGGTCTGGAGACTGGCTAGGCCACTCCAGGAGCTTAATATGCTTCTTCTTGAGCCACTCCTTTGTTGCGTTGGCCGTGTGTTTTGGGTCATTGTCATGCTATAATACCCATCCACGACCCATTTTCAATGCCCTGGCTGAGGGAAGGAGGTTCTCACCCAAGATTTGACGGTACATGGCCCCGTCCATCGTCCCTTTGATGCGATGAAGTTGTCCTGTCCCCTTAGCAGAAAAACACCCCCAAAGCATAATGTTTCCACCTCCATGTTTTACGGTGGGGATGGTGTTCTTGGGGTCATAGGCAGCATTCCTCCTCCTCCAAACACGGCGAGTTCAGTTGATGCCAAAGAGCTCCATTTTGGTCTCATCTGACCACAACACTTTCACCCAGTTGTCCTCTGAATCATTCAGATGTTCATTGGCAAACTTCAGACGGGCATGTTTATGTGCTTTCTTGAGCAGGGGGACCTTGCGGGCGCTGCAGGATTTGTCCTTCACGGCGTAGTGTGTTACCAATTGTTTTCTTGGTGACTATGGTCCCAGCTGCCTTGAGATCATTGACAAGATCCTCCCGTGTAGTTCCTCACCGTTGTCATGATCATTGCAACTCCACGAGGTGAGATATTGCATGGAGCCCCAGGCTGAGGGAGATTGACAGTTCTTTTGTATTTCTTCCATTTGCGAATAATCGCACCAACTGTTGTCACCTCCTCACCAAGCTGCTTGGCAATGGTCTTGTAGCCCATTCCAGCCTTGTGTAGGTCTACAATCTTGTCCCTGACATCCTTGGAGAGTTCTTTAGTCTGGGCCATGGTGGAGAGTTTGGAATCTGATTGATTGATTGCTTCTGTGGACAGGTGTCTTTTATACAGGTAACAAGCTGAGATTAGGAGCACTCCCTTTAAAAGTGTGCTCCTAATCTCAGCTTGTTACCTGTATAAAAGACACCTGGGAGCCAGAAATCTTTCTGATTGAGAGGGGGTCAAATACTTATTTCCCTCATTAAAATGCAAACTATTTATAACATTTTTGACATGCGTTTTTCTGGATTTTTTTGTTGTTATTCTGTCTCTCACTGTTCAAATAAACCTACTATTTAAATGATAGACTGATCATTTCTTTGTCTGTGGGCAAACGTACAAAATCAATAGGCGATCAAATACTTTTTCCCCCTCACTGTATGCGATCTGGAGTGGATATGAGAGTGTTGTGTATTTGTGCGTGCTCGCGTAATGAAGGGTTGTATAGGTGGAGTGCCATGTCCGTTAATACGTGATGTGTTTCTGCATTCGCGTTAGGTTTGCCACCCAGTGTACAATTATTGCAGCCAGGTCGGGGAGTCGTCGTGGCCAAATCCGTTGATGCCACCACCAGACATTGCCAACTACCCTCTGCCACATCCCACAGCTGCTGCGCATTAGACAGGAGACCTATACGGCCTACACGTAAATCTAAACCTGTGAGAATAGACCTCACAATGCAGTAGGCCACAGCCTGTTAGACCGGGCCTTGTAGTGCAATGGATAACGGCCTATTAGACTAGGCCTGTCATTGTAGGAGGCCACAACCCTATTAGACTAGGCCTCACATTGTAGTAGGTCACAACCCTATTAGACTAGGCCTCTCATTGTAGTAGGCCACAACCCTATAAGACTAGGCCTCACATTGTAGGTCACAACCCTATTAGACTAGGCCTCACATTGTAGTAGGCCACAACCCGATAAGACTAGGCCTCACATTGTAGTAGGCCACAACCCGATAAGACTAGGCCTCACATTGTAGTAGGTCACAACCCGATAAGACTAGGCCTCACATTGTAGTAGGCCACAACCCGATAAGACTAGGCCTCACATTGTAGTAGGCCACAACCCTATTAGACTAGGCCTCACATTGTAGTAGGCCACAACCCTATTAGACTAGGCCTCACATTGTAGTAGGTCACAATCCTATTAGACTAGGCCTCACATTGTAGTAGGCCACAACCCGATTAGACTAGGCCTCACATTGTAGTAGGCCACAACCCGATAAGACTAGGCCTCACATTGTAGTAGGCCACAACCCGATAAGACTAGGCCTCACATTGTAGTAGGTCACAACCCGATAAGACTAGGCCTCACATTGTAGTAGGTCACAACCCTATTAGACTAGGCCTGTCATTGTAGTAGGTCACAACCCTATTAGACTAGGCCTCACATTGTAGTAGGCCACAACCCGATAAGACTAGGCCTCACATTGTAGTAGGTCACAACCCGATAAGACTAGGCCTCACATTGTAGTAGGCCACAACCCGATAAGACTAGGCCTGTCATTGTAGTAGGCCACAACCCTATTAGACTAGGCCTCTCATTGTAGTAGGCCACAACCCTATTAGACTAGGCCTGTCATTGTAGGAGGCCACAACCCTAAAAGACTAGGCCTCACATTGTAGTAGGCCACAACCCTATAAGACTAGGCCTCACATTGTAGTAGGCCACAACCCGATAAGACTAGGCCTGTCATTGTAGGAGGCCACAACCCTAAAAGACTAGGCCTGTCATTGTAGTAGGCCACAACCCTATTAGACTAGGCCTCTCATTTTTAGTAGGTCACATCCTGTTAGAAGCCTCAGTGCAGCAGGCCACAACATGCTCTACCAGGCCTCAAAGTTGGGTAAGCCACAACGTGCTATGCCAGACCTGCTGCCGTATCGGTGCCTGATAGGGAACAAAATGGCAAAAATGGTTCACTCAACAAAAACATCCTCAGAGTCCGATATGTACTGGCAATGTTTACCATGTCAGTAAAACTATTAGTGCATCAGTAAGTTACTTGAGCTTCTTAAAAAGAAAGCATAAAAGGTTTTAGGTATCGGTGAGCCAAAGGTGTGTGTTTGCAAGGCATTGGCGAGCATTAGTAAGCATTTAGTACTTGTACGCTTTTGGAATTTATTTTAAGTATAGTCGTACCTCGGGGTAAGCCGCAGCTGCACGTTAGTCATGCTGTTGGCATTTCCTATTGAGCCAATGTTCAACGTTAGTATTGGCAAGCCAAACTTGTTGGTAAACAACGGAGAGGCCGTTATCACCGTTATCAAGTGAAACGGCGTGCTGTTCGGGGATTGGCAAGCGTTAGCCATCGCCAAGTGTTTGTTGACATTGCCAAGCACTCGCCAAGAACGTATCAACCAAAACCAAGTATCATCGATATCGGTGAATCATTTGCTCATCGTTGGTAAGTCGGTTAAGAGTGTTATCCACTTCAGCAAGCCATTTAGTGTTAAGCCATCGGTGCATGTTCGCTGCCAACAGGATAACTGGTAAGCCAAAGATGCTTTGTTTTAATAGCATGACTATGCCAAAGACCTGGGTCTGTGGGTCATGTTCCACTTTCGTAAGCCACCTTAGTAAGTAAAAAAAAAAATAGCTAGCTTCGACGTGAATGTTTTCTTAGCAATATGAAAGTGCGGCAAACTTCTTCAACTGCGCCATAAGGAGTAAGGGTGGCCAATTTGAATGAGGGCTTTTGTCGATTACGTGGCATCTCCCAGCCAAAACAAAATGTGTGCTGTAAATTTCAACATCGGTGGGGGGGTCCTCCGAAGAAGCCTCCTTTTCCACTCGCACATCCGACGCCGTGCCAACGTGGGGGCCGTCCATGGCACGAGTCTTTTTTATTTTATTTTCCCCACTGGTTAATTGTCATGCTGAGGCGAAACAGATCCGCGGTACCCTGGCTTCACAAGATGTCTGATATCTGGCTCTGTGCGTCCATCAAGAACAACACCACGCACGTGCGTGCGTGTGTGTGTGTGTGGCCATCAAAGAAAAAAGACGTAACGGCCGACGTTTTGGCATTGGCCATTCTTCATGGGACGTAAGGGCCACTGCCGAAATGTCACCTGTCATGTATATTATTTGTTTAACTTTTAAGGCCACTCACACACAGTGTTGTCATTGACAGATCTGTTGAGTCTAGATTTGAAGCTTTCGTGACTGCAAGGATCCATACTCTTTGGTTCTATTCGGTAAAGTCACGTAGGTAAAAATAAAATAACAAAAAAATCACGACGTTTCGGCCACAACACAAGTGGCCTTCATCAGGTGAAGGGACTGGACTGTCCAGAGGACAGCGTTGGAGTGAAGACAGCAAGCCCAGGTCGCTTCCTTTAAGCTGTGTGGGAGGAAACAAAAAAACGCCTTGACAAAGGAATTAGCATTAAAATATGCTAAATATGTACTGGACCGGCACGGTGGGGGGGGGGGGGGGGGGGGGGAGTTTTTGTTTCCTCCCACACAGCTTAAAGGACGTGACCTGGGCTTGCTGTCTTCACTCCAACGCTGTCCTCCAGACAGTCTCGTCCCTTCACCTGATGAAGGCCACTTGTGTTGTGGCCAAAACGTCGTGATTTTTTTGGTTATTTTATTTTTACCTACGTGATTTTACCGAATAGAACCAAAGAGTAAAGAGTTTTATACTCAGATCTGTTGAGTCGTTAATTGTGCTCGTGCAACAACTGCCAACGTAGCAGCAGCGGTGGCTAGGAGATGTTAACAACCTCGCCTGGTCTACAGGAGGGTCGTGGGTTCGATCCCGACCCAGATGCCTGCTGTATATTTGGAGTTTGCGTCTCTCATCATCATCATCACGGTGGCTAGGAGATGTTAACTACCTCGCCTGGTCTACAGGAGGGTCGTGGGTTCGATCCCGACCCCGACGCCTGGTGCTGTA